AGAAAGATGTTCAACTCTTGGAGAGCAACTAAGGCTAAGGCAACTAAGGCTTCAGCTGGACGGATGGCCCATAGGATTCCAAAGCAAATAAGAATGATCCAAACTAGCTACTTCATGGTTGCCAAACCGACAGGTTCTCCAAAGTCATCGGCATCATGAAGCAAGCACAATAGCAAAAGCATATTCTAATCCTGTCGAAATCACAAAGTCCTATTTTGTGCACGTTTACTGCAGATGAAGGCAGGGCATGTCAAACAGTATAAAAATGAATAAAGATAAGTGAGATCTGATAAGCTGCCATAACGAGCTCGGCAGTGAAAGGAATAAAGCAATAAAAGGGCTTTGCCGCATCATTTGACAACCTATATAAAATGACAAGCCCGACCCACCATATTTGAGCCTCCAGCTCTTGCGACGGACAGCATGTCGGACAGATTAGCACAGCATCTCCACAGATCAGATACCGCCCAGAGGCCAGAAAAAGTGGCCTTCAGCGCGCTGATGGCCGGCGCGTACGGAGCTTTGCGATCTGAAAGCGCTAATTAGCGCCGTTTCTTCTTCTCGAGCCGGCGGCGGTGCTGACTGCGGTGAGCCGCCGACGAGTGCGGGCTACCCTGGTCCGAGGTGTCGTCGTCGCTACTCTCAGAAGTCTGCAACACAGAAGGGAAATTGTTCATAATAATTACACAATACACAAGACACAACAGCTGGCTTAGCAGTCGGATACCCTCCTAGTTAAATTGGGAAAAATAGTTGGCAGGGATGGCTTATCTGTCTCGATCTCGGAACGCTTAGTGCTCATGTTCATTATCTAAGCATAAGAAGTGCAGGATCATCCATTTGATACTCTACCTTCATTTAACATGGGATAAAACCTGTGAACATTTCGTGTCATTGTGCTGGGCTTAGTGGCACCCTCCCGTTCCTGTACAGTGTACAAACCTTGTGGTCGGCGTCTGAAGGGGAGAAGATGACTGCAGCGATGCACACCAGCTGGAACACTGCGCCGGCATACAGTCCATAGCGCAGCACCTCGTCAAACAGTGTCGGCTCCTGGATAAACTCATCCATTGTGGCACCAGCCGGTCTGTGGAAAGGCACGCAGCAGACATGAATCCTTAATTCAATAGGCTTAACTTTAAACCCTATCACCAGAAATATTTGCCTGACTTCAGATGCACAATGGATAAACATGAACTATACCTAGTCCCATGAAAAACATTTACCTTAATTCTTACATTGACATATTTTGCAATAAAATGCATAAAGTAGGTTAAAAGTACCTAGTTCATAGTCTGTTCTGTCCTATCACTAATTCAAGAAAAAAGATACATTTTTGTGAAAATGTCCCACCCCGTGCAGTGCAAACACAATTCAGATTAATTTTGCCCAATCCTGACCATGACCTAGAACCGGAAAATCGAACATTATAAATTTCTACTAACATACCTACCTATGAAAGATGAATGCTTTTCACTATTTACCAACTTGAACTGTGCAATTACTGGTATATGTCAAGTTTAGGTCCTAACTACAATTGTGATGCTGTTGATACAAATATGTAACAGCAAAAATTTTATGTTTTAGGTTAGGTTAGGTTAGGTTGTAGGTTTGTAGGTAGTAGGTTGGTAGGTTATAGGTAAATGGGTAAGATTAGGTCAGGTTTGATTATGTTTTTCTTTTAGTTGTGAGACATTTAAGTATCATTTTTGGATTCAGGATGTCAAATAATGTAAGAATATTAAACAAAACATCCATGAAATCTGCTTAGGACTTAATCTTGACATTTACCCAATTACTTAGGGAATAGGGATGTAGGTACCTATGCAATATGTATACATCATACAATTTAAGATTATACAGTGAACCACCTAAGTTTCCTGCATGCTGCAATATAAATATTTATTACAGAACAATAGCAATTGGTCATCAAATATTAATCAAACCAGTAAGATGCCGTTTGAGGCATCAAACAAGCAGGCCAGAATGAGCCCTGCCCATCACAAAGGCACCCGTAACTTCCAACTGACTTGTGCATGGCATCCTACTACCCAGTGTCAGTTACTTTAGCATTTGTTACGCTTCCACAATTTCTGCTATTCTACTCTAGACTTGGTGGTTCACTCAAAATAACAGCACATCTGATCATTGCATTTGATAAGTCTTACAATAGAGGATACCTAACAGATATGCAACATTTGTCATTTCATACCAACCAGCTCCAAGCCTAAAATGCAAACAAGCAAGCCTGTACCAATCAGGATTAAAACAGAAACTGCATTTTCAAAAAAATATCCGGTTTAGTACCTAGCACTAGGTCAGTCGGGGAAACTATGGTAAAATCTGCTATTTTTAGCAGTCTGCTATTTTTAGCAGAAATCTGCTAAAAATGGGTACGCATGTGACGTCATCGTACCCAAATATAGCAGATTTGGGTACGGCCCCATACAAAAGCAGATCTGCACCCTAATTGAAGCAAATGCGCATCAAATGCCTGGCAGATTCATGATTAGAATAGTGCTTAGAATGTCCTCTGATATTTTTGTTCAGATCCGACTATTTTCAAATAATGAATTTGAAAATAGTCGGATCTGAACAAAAATAGCATAGATCACTCTCAGCACTTTTCTCATCATGAATCTGCCAGGCATTTGATGCGCATTTGCTTCGATTAGGGTGCAGATCTGCTTTTGTATGGGGCCGTACCCAAATCTGCTATATTTGGGTACGATGACGTCACATGCGTACCCATTTTTAGCAGATTTCTGCTAAAAATAGCAGACTGCTAAAAATAGCAGATTTTACCATAGTTTCCCCGACTGAGGTATGACTTGCACCTCAAGACGGAACGGCACCAGCACCAGTTAAATCTAAAGCATCCCAAAAGCAATCAAGGGTATTCAATATCACCCATTCCACCCCAATTACTGAACATACCTTTTAAGAACAATAATATGATTTCGAATCACCTAAAACTGATAAAATATCAACAAATACTGCCTAAAAATATTTTCAATACAACAACAATTACCTTACCCTTCCATAAACAACTGTAGCAGCCACGCAATAATTGTCACAATACGAGAGCAAGGATCAAGGATAAAAGAAAGAAGAGCTCTATTTCACTGCTAAATATACGGGTCGCATCAAATAATGCGCCGGGTTGGTGAACAACCATTACAGAGTTCAGTGTGAATAACTTTGCAAACAATTGTCGCAGAGCCGAGATTTTGGCATCATCGTGTTCGCCATGTTCAGGTGTGTCGAATGGTATGCGTTTTGTTTAGTTGAGGTCAACTTTATACTTAAGGTGTTGACCTCAGTTCAAGGTCAAGTAGGTCAGAGCAATCTTGAGCCACTCAGGTCACGAAGTTGGTCGAAGGAGGTCATCTTTGTAGCATTCGATTTGGAAGACCTTCCTGAGTCTATTGATGGCTTTCCCGACTCACTAGCTCAATTTGATAGGAAGTTATTGAAGAACTCCTGTGACCCTAGAGACGTCATAAATGACATCACGCAAGGTCTACAAAAGTTCACTTTTGATGCAAAAGTAAAACGCTGGACATTGCAAGGAGTGCATGAAACCACGATTCATGTGTTTGAGCTAGGTTTAAATTCCCAGCGCCAAAGTAACCATTTCGCTTCCATGTTTCCCCGTGATGGACCTGACCGCATGTGACCTTTAGGAAAAATCCGAGATATAGAACTTGTGAGACCTCTCGAGGATACTAGGTCCTGGAAGTTTCATCTCTATGTGACAGCTCGTCTGGCATTGAGAGCATTGCGAAGTTGCGGCATTTTAGGACCGTGCACTGTGCAGAAGTTCACTTATGACGTCATAGATCACTGACCTGACTTGACCTGAAAATGCAGTTAGTGTTGTCACAAGATCCGGTTGCAGCAAAGGTCAGATATGCCGAGTTTCAGCTCTCTGTCCCCGGCGTGTTCCAAGAGCTAGCGGAAAAAAAAAAAACAATGAGGGGTGGGTAGGACCCCCCCCCCTTGGCCGACGAGGGGGCGAGCAGGCAGCAGCATCTTATTTGAAACAGTCGATGAAATATCATGTGGCGAGCCGAATGAGGCTACTTTCGTTGCGATTCGCGATTAAAGCGGTATTTTCGTAGGGAGAGCGAAGGCACTGGAGCACCTACTGTGGGTGTTGCAAGGTGGTACCTAGGTACCCTTTTTAGTCAAAGGATGACTGCAATTGTCAAAAACTCCAACCTTCAAGGGTGACCGACACCGAGATCACTTAGGTGACATTAAGAAACAACTGACTAAAGAAAAAAGCTGGCGTCTATCAGCCGGTTTGCGGGACGAATGACGGTTCACGGTACCTATATGTATGTAGAAGAAAACTGCGGCTCCTCCGAGTATTGAAGGGTGAAAAAGTGACGTTACATGATGTAAACAGTGTGGATTGGCATTGTTCGTCAAAGAAGAAACGGCAGGACCCCGCAGACCGCAGCACAGCGGGGTCCTAAACCACGGCGGGACCCCTGTAGTACAGCGGGGTCCTAAACCACGGCGGGACCTGTAGTACAGCGGGGTCTTGGAAAAGGAAGCGTGTCCGACAGCGGGGACTTGGAAAAGGAAGCGTGTCCGACAGCGGGGACTTGGAAAAGGAAGCGTGTCCGACAGCGGGGACTTGGAAAAGGAAGCGTGTCCGAGGTCGCAGCGGGACCCTGGAGCTCAGTAGCACGGAGTATAGTCCTCGGAGTTAGCGGAGACCCCGAGGAGCTGGTGTTGATCGGTCAGCAGGGCTCTATCGGTCTTCGGAGTAGTTACATACAGTGGAGAGTCCGAGAGGCTGGTGTGTTTCAGCAGGGCTAGCTCTATTGGTCCTCGGAGTGGTTACATGTAGCGGAGACCCCGCGAGTAGCTGGTGTGTTTCAGCAGGGCTCATGTGTCCTCGGAGTAGCCCGAGGAGCTGGTGTGTCGGCCGGTCAGCAGGGCGGGGCCGTGCAGCTTTCTCCGCCGGCCGTCGTGCTCTGACCGTCGATGGGAGCGAGGCGGGGAGAGACCACGGCAGTCGGTGTCGGGAGCCGGGCGGGTCAGGTTCGCTGCGGATACAGCGTCAGCAGGAGCTCAGTCGGACACAGCGGGAGACCCGTCAGCATCACTGCATCGGTCACCGATCATCGGACCACGCACCGTGCCAGGTGAGGGTATATGTAAGTGACAAGATACCGAAACAATCACATTAATTCGCAGATATTCTAATGCAGATTCTAATGCACGTATTGGTCGATGTTGTTCGTTGTATTTTCGTCAGCACGCTTCTTTGCAAAACATGATAGTGATCCTTCCTTTATTTTTTTACAACATTCCAAAGCGTACCGCTTTTTGATATATAGCCCAGGCGCCGAGCAATATAAGGAAATGTGCACTTCTCTCCCCTCCCCTCTCCTGCACACACTCAAACAGAACTACATGGAGGAAATCCGGGACCCCAGTGGGGCTCGAGGTAATAAATTAGCGTACGGACGACGGCCAAGTCTTTGCACGCTTTGAACAGTTATAGGAATTTGAAACGAATATCTCGAAACCTAAACAATTTAGTGGAAAGTGGTAGACGGCTCAGAAAAGGTATTGAGAAGGCTTCATTAATAGTACTTCCAACACTATATATGGCCTTGCTTCCAACTTTCCTTTAATTAAAAAAATGCAATGCATAAAATCATCCCACGCGCCAAATTTTTCGATCTCTCGTGATAAAAGAGGGCTCATGAAACGTTCTTATATAAAATTGATCCCAGCAAATAAGACAGCAGCGGCCTTAAAGTGACCATCCCACCTTAACATTAGTTTTGAGTTGAGATAGCCAATTGGTGGCCATGGCCTGCAAATACCGGTTTGGGCACTCACAACATCGAAAAATGCTTTAATTCGGAGATATGCCCGGGAATTTCAAACTTGCAGTTTTCGGATTCTAAGGGGCGAATGCATTGGAATGCCCCCTTAGAATTTGTGACGTCAGCGGTGATCTAACGATTTTAAAACGTAATACTAACATCTTTGTGAAGCAGTGGTGGTATATGCTATTGGCGCGCAACCATGGGTGGAGAACCTGCCCCGGCCACCCCGGCCGTGGCCGGGGTAACTTTCAGCTGACCCCGGCGCGGCCGGGGTAACTTTTTCCACTTTTGTAAATCCTAAAAGCTGTCTCCAAACGAAAAAACTGCCATCTATAAAAGCGTCTCTAATTATTCTTATCTACCTTGAAAAGTTCTTGAAAATTTACTTTATTTTCATTTTGGAGCTTCTATGTTTTAAGTCTTCATCGCGGAGCCCGACATGTTTCATCAAACAGAAGTAAATCATATTTAAGGGTCGTTATCGTAAGATGGCACTGTAATAACATCACAAGACAGGACGAGGGTAATATCAGTGAGATAGAAGGACGAGCTGCTGGGGCTCAAGGCTCCCCAACTTAACCCGCGCCAGGGTGGTGGCCTTATCGTAACACGTTGAGTCGAGAGGTGGGCTTTTCACGCTCCTTCTAACTCGGCTACTGGGCTACGAGGCGAGAAGCGGAACGACGTTTGAAAGAGCGACAAACGTGATCAGAGAAATCTGGTCATGTTTTAGGCAAGCTCAATAATAAAATCACCATAGATAATCAAAAGCCAAATTTCCCTGATTTTAGCGTTCTCCGACAACTTTTCTCACAGTTCATGAACATAACGGAGCTTAAACACTGCAAACAAAACATTCGATTACTCGTTTAAGGCTCGGTCGCGAATAATATTTCAGGTGCGAGCTCAAATCAATAAGAGGGTCAAAACGGTCAAATTTGACATTTTGTTTCGTGTGGGAAGGTTGCAACGTCCACGGAATAAATTTTGCAAAGTGCATGATGACATTTTTAGCACGATCATCCAGCAAATTGACCTGATGACCTGACCTAGCACTAGGTGACATGCGTCCGAAATTTTAAGGCGTGTTGCAAAATTGTTGTTACAATTGCGAAATCTTCCGCACCTGCGTGCAGCAGTTTTCCCTAAAAACGTACAAACGGCAGACATCCATTATTCTATGCCACAGAATAGGGGTTAGTTGATAACCGTTAGCAAATATTTGAACATCATTGTCTTTCTGACTTTCGGTCGCCGGCCGGGGTAACTTTTTCAAACATTCTCCACCCGTGCGCGCAACATCTACCGCAAACGCCGCACTTCCAAAATGAAGTCGCTAGTTACAGCGGAGGTCCCAAAAAGTAAACAAAAGTAAAAGTCTAATATCTTGAAAACCGGTGAATATTTTTCGGTGATATTTGGTAGATATTCGTTTTTGTTCTTTCTTAACCGAGCAACATCACTTTCATGCCAATTCATTACCTTTTTTGAAGATGGGAGGGTCCCTTTAAGGTATCTATCTTCCGTCTCGCTCTCCTTCTCCCTCCCTCCCTCTCTCTCTCTCTCTCTCTCTCTCTCTCTCTCTCTATCTCTCCGTTTCTCACTCCCCATCAGGCACAGGTCAGTGGGCCAGCTCCATGCTCGACCGAGAGCGGATGACATGAATGACACGGTGCAGGTATTGTGACCGGTGACTGTCACACACCGATCTGGAAACAGGCTCAGTCACAGAATAGGAATCGGATGGCCAAACGCACTGATGCGAGCGATTGAGGTCTACAGGAAGCGTAGGCAGAGAAGGTGCGAATGGTGCTGAGCGTGGCACATTGTTTGCCCGCATGGATGTTTCTGTCATCCAGCCCGTTCTAGATGTAGGGGCGGCTCGATTGAGGACTGACCTACATACTCAGCAATGGAGCAGAAAGGCTTTGCCGCAGAGCTATTCAAGGAATCTAGTTTCGTATTTAGACGAATTCTGGCCTCACCCCGATCCGTAACTCGAGGTCCTCGAGGTCACTGCGTTCTCTGACGCAGAATGGACATCGACGTGCGGATACTTCACACCATCAGTTGTAGGTACCTACATATGCATTATGCACACGTACGTGTTGGCGCCATTGCTCAGCATGCGTTGCATGCCGTTTACCTGCGTTAGGTTTTTACGCTGTTTGTTGACAGTCCATTGATGTCCCTGCAGGTGGCTCCGTTCGGTGGGACCAATAATGGCAGGCCCAGGGCGGCTTTTGAGCCATGCTATCGGTGAGTACTGAGCAAAAATGAATAAATATTGCATGCGTGCATGATATACCAAGATGACAAGTGCGTGTAGCTTCTAGTTTTGACACAGTCGCTGGGAGTATAGTGCATACTGTGTGAGAAAACATTAACCAATTTACCAACCCAATAGCCCGTCACCATGTGCGCATTCACGGCTTAAATGAATCAAATGACAGAGTATTTGGAAGGTGTCAAAATTACCACCTAATTTTAAGCAAGCAACTGGTCAAGCTCTCTTAGATATTCAATGATCAATTTGGCTTATTAACTGAAAATTGGAATAATTAAAAATTCAATTAAATAAACGTTACTGCTAAACGTATTGATGAACGGGCTATTCATAACAGATAATGCACCTCCTACGAACGGTTTACTACACGCTGTTAGGAAACATAAAATGTTGTCGTTCCACACACGCCAGTGCGCAGGGCAGTTGTGCCATCTGGCCCTGTCCCGGTTCCCATACCCACGTGTTGTGTTGTGTAGCAGTTGGCACAAGAGGCTCCAACAGGACAAGCGCCGGCAGTCGGAGGCTCGACTCTGCCATCACGACACGCTTTGACAGGATGCGTGAATCCACGTATCCCGTTAGTTTGACGGGGTAGATTCGGAAATTTGACCCTTCCTGTACCGTCTGGCTGGGCTGCAAAGGTGTGGGAATCTGACCTTTCCAACACTGCATGGTCGGGCTGGATATGTGGAGACCGGATCTTTCCGACATTGCCTCTCCAGAACATGCTCGAATCATTGTTTCATTTTCTTGATACCGGAAATTTGGTCACGGTAGCTGCCCCCGTGCACGTGATGGTGTTTTTCGCCGGGCCCGCCCTCAGCGTGACCTTGCCTTGCCCAGTCGTTAACGGTCAGATTAGTGTGACTCGTCGTGCCAGCCATTTCACGGCCCGGCTGCGCGGCCGGCCCCGCCGGCGCCGGTTCCGACGGACCCTCAGCTGGTCCACCCCCGGCGTCAGGTCCCGGGTGAAGGGCGGCGCCGGCGGCACGCAGAGGCTCCGACTTTGCATCGTTGGACATCTCGTCACGCTGCTTAAGGACATTTAAATCATCCGAGATGATCAGATTAAAATGTATCACGAATAAAATCAGACACTGAATTGAATATGATCTGTCATCGAAATTTATTCTTTGTCATACAAAGCCCTTTGCAATAGGCATTTGCTTCCTAAATACGTATCTGGGGAAACGTTTATTGAGCAATGTTTGGTTCTGGTCTGTCGTATTGTCAAGCATCTAATTTTAGGCTTTAGCTAACGTTTGGTTTAGGTTGGTGCACTCGGTAAAGGTCACAACTTTGACCTTTCCATCGGGGAAAACGCTCAAGACAGCAGGCAATCGTATAATTTGTCGGTCGATATCCTTCTTCCTCTCCGTAACGGTCAGCATTGTAACTTTTAGGCAACGATTTAAATTGATCCCACATTTCGCTGATGTGCTAGCTCAGAAATGGAAATAATGTGAAACGGAATTATATTTTGGACTGAGTAGCTCTACATCAGTTTGAACTCACTTCGTACCGAGAGGCGCGAAAAGTTTTCAATCTGGGAAATGCACCACCAGCCCATTTATCGGGCTGAGAAATCGCCGGGTTCACTCGCCGTCCGCTGGTCAATACATGGCCTACTTGTTCATCGCCGTGGCTTGCAGTACTTCAATTGGATCTCGGGGATGACTATGCACCAATCGAGGCGCTTGTCGACCCATGGTGGCTGTCATTGTTGGTGGTTTGAAAAGCTCTGTATTCACAGCTAGGCAGTTTGCTGTTCAAGACAGTAAAAGCAGCTTGAGTAGCATACTGGTCCGGGGGATTATGCTGTAATTTGAATTAGTTTGGTGTGAAAATGAAGAGGTCCTTGGCCAGTTTGTCAGCGTCTGGTGGTCAGTCTGTCGGTCAGGTGGTCAGTCTCTCAGCCAAGTTCTCTGTCTTCTTCGCCACTTAGTCAAATGGTTGTTCTGCTAGCCCGATGGTCGTTCTACCCAGCAGCAGCTTGGGTCTGGTCGCGGTGGTCAGTCCAGTGGTCAGTTGTACGGGTGGTCAGTCTGCGTCTCCTCTGTCGGTCTCGGTTCCACTGAGGGTGTCGGTGGCGAAAGCTGGCGGCGCCGCCAGCCGCGCCGGCCGGCCGCGGTCAGTCTCCTGCGGTGCCGCGGTCACCGGCCGACGGCCGACGGCGAACGGGAGCAGGCCGACCGACGCCACTTTCGCTCTCACTGCGTACTGCGGTCACGGGCCGCCGGCCGCGGCCGGTCACGCGCCGTTTTAACGCCCGCCAGCTCCCCGAGACCGACGCCAGCCTCTGAGGACGGCGCTCACAGCGGCTCGCGAAATCGCAGCACAATTGGCGCAGTTGGCTCATTTGGCCTTGGGGATCGGTCCCCGCCATTACGAGTCCCCATGTTGCTCTCAATTACGGTCACAGTTGAATTATAGTTAAGCGATGCTGGCTGTACTGTTCCAAGGGCACTGGTAGTATACGAGCATACACATACCTCGCTGCATACCATCGCCTTTGCTCCCTGACCTGCACCGTATTTGTGTCAGTCGTGGTTTTGTCGCAGTTGAGTGCGTCGGGTAAAAGGTCAGTGTCAGTCGCGAATAGGTCGCCCTATGTCACCCTCCACTGATCTAAGCCGCAATTTTGTATACAAAGTCGTGGCACATGCATACTGTCTAGTGACGGTGCGGAAACTGGAAAGTTATTCCCAGGGGAAATAGTTTGAGCTGTCATCTGACGTGACTGAGAGCTGTAAAGGCGCGCCGCTTGAATAACACTGAATGAATACAGGGAAAGACTCAGAGAAGAAAAATATAACTCATAACTAGCATGCTGAGCTTGGTCACTGCATGGCGTGTTATATAAGGTTAAATCAGTACATGAAGGCTGGCGACGTTAAATCAGTGTATGGCGGATGCTCGGGTAATTGGGCTATGTAGACGGAACTCACGGAAGATCTTGGAAGCAGGCAGCGAATAACTATCAGATAAACTCACACTCCGGTGTACAGATCTCTTCAGGTGCATGTGGCCGGCCTGACCGCCATGTGTGACCCCGCCGCGCCGGACGCCGGTTGCTCGGCCCAGTACCCATCTGGGTCGCTGTCGGCGCCGGCGGCGGTGCCGTCTCGCCGTTGGGCACCTGCCACCGGCCACGCCTCTCCGGACGGACCGGATCTGAGTGTCGGGAGATCCGCGAGATGGACACGCCACACTGGATAATCCCACGCACCTGGTGCCCGTGGAGATGGTGGAAATCGGCTCCCATTTCTCGATAGTGGCGAATTTAACGTAATTTCTCGTGATGCTGAATCGAATTTTCAAAGCTGCATTGTCTCGTGATGCTGAATCGAATCAAATTGTCATTGTCAGAGCCGCAGTGCTAGAAGTGTCATCTTTGAAAAGGGGTGACGGAGAGGCTTACGTACAGAACACAGAACATATTACTAGACGGGCATCCAAGAAATAAAGCTGGAAAGTTTGAACTGAGGCCTGTTTCACTAACAAATAAAGTGTGTAATTACAAAGAAAAAACTTGAGTTTAAAAGAAATATTTACCAACATTTGAAATTTGGATTTCACGAAACCTCCGAGCATGAATTTTGAGTTTAAATTTTACCAACTTTTTACAAGAAAAAAGTTTGTAAGAAACATCGAAATTGCAAACTTTCTGTTTCACGAAGACCAAAAACTTGAAAGAAAACGTTGTACTTACAAACCCGAAATTCCAGTGGCTCTTACGTTCGGAATTTTATTACTTTTTGTGCAATGATGCAAAGCAATCAATTATTTAAAACAAATATGATATGCTGAGTCATTATATGTTCTTTTTACTTAGCACAATCCCTACGAACCAGCTACGAGCAATAAATAAATATCGTCATGTTTTGTCATTCGCGCGCCATAATTGCATTCAACAGTCTTCTGCTGTCAAAAGTTTTGCGTGTTATTTTCTTTCAATGATAAGATATTGTGAACTATCATTTATACCAATTAGAAACAGCATCATTATTTATAATTTATTCATGCATTTTTTGACATGAATACTAGACATAATTTGATAAAAAGAAGCAATATCTGTAACATGTTGTAGTTCTTGATTAAAGGGACCCTCCCACCTTCAAAAAAGTTAATGAATTGGCATGAAAGTGATGTCGCTCGGTTCAGAAAGAGCAAAAACGAATATCTACTAAATTTCATTGAAAAATATTCACCGGTTTTAAAGATATTAGACTTTTACTGTTGTTTACTTTTTGGGATCTCCGCTGTTCCTAGCGACTTTATTTGAAAGTGCGGCATTTGTTGCGCTCAAAGCAGCATATACCACCGCGTGCTACAAAACGTTTTAGTCAAACATTTAACTGACGTTCGAAAGCCTGATGACGTCATCAGATTCCCGTAATGGTTAAGAGATAGGGACCACGCTGGTCCCACCCTGCAAGTAAAGGGAAGAAATTTCTTGAACACCATAAAGCTGCGGGGGTTGCGACCAGGATAAATGGTGGTTTCTGAGCCTGGCCGCAAACTTGGCTATCTCAACTCAAAACTAATGTTAAGGTGGGAGGGTCCCTTTAAAAACATTTTTACTGTTTACAAGTTTTTTTTGCAAACTCTTTTTATCGGAGGTGCCGCTGGTGATGAAGTTTAGTGAAATCCGATTTTACATACCTATGTAGCAGGGGCGCGGGAACTACTTTCCGACTGGGGGGGCACACCATAATAGAGATCAACCTAGGGTACCCCCAAATCTAGTTTTCTCACCAGTTTTAGGCCACTTATTTTTCACCCCTCGGCTTTTTCAACAAAAAAAGAAAACATTTGCAAAAAAAAGTGTGGTATTACGTCTCAAAGCTGTGGGGGCACCGCCCCCACGGCCCCAGAGTTGGGGGGGCAAGCTGCCCCTACTGCCCCCCCGGCTCCCGCGCCTATGCTATGTAGTTTGCAAAAATACTTATGAATTGTAAAGTTCAAACAC